GTGGACTGTGTTTTCGCTTGTCATCTTTTGTTCCATAATAAACCCTATAAAGATCTTTTAATATACAACCTGTCAAATCTTCTAACAGTTTACCTAATTGGTAAGTTGATGTCTGCTACTCACTTTAATTAAAGAAGGCAACAGAATGAGAAATGCCGCACAGTATGTTATTAGACTGGCTCTCTCACACTTCCAAATATATTCCTCTAAAGAAAAGGAGTTCAACATTTGTTATTTACGATATATAGATTTTTTAATGGGATAAGAAGTGTGTTACCATTTATTATCATAACATTTAAATAATATATAAATTTAAAAATGCACAATAAAAAAACTAGAACTTAAAACTTATATTATCATACAGTCCTACTCCCTTCGGTGTAGCGCCAAGAACTCTGGCTGCGTTTGCTTGCTGAATAATATTTTCTTTAATAATTATACTGTGGTATGCAAAATTCCGTTCGTTTATTCCGAGTGGTGGAGCCTAAGAGAATCCATTACTCTTTGCACTAAGCATACACAGACACACAGCTCTTTGTACAGCTTATTATCATTGATAGAAGATGTACACTTTAACATCACATATCTTCTTGTAAATGTACTAACATCCTCAATCACACAATAATCGAACGCTTGCGTCTCTTCCACCACGCATGGACAGGACGGCACCTTTCTCTCAAGCCACCACATACAGCTGTAAACTAGTATGTCCCTACGACCAACGGTTTGGGTCTGGCCCGGACGATACTGTTATCTGTATTCTGTTCAACCAACCTGTCTGGATCGGACGGGTGCGTCCCTTCGACCAGTGTAACTCCACAAATCATAAGCCTGGACTGGAAGAATGTGTCTTTTCAACAGCCGCGCGCAGCTTGGCCCGGTACGACATTGTCCTTTCGACCAGCTTCACTCGAAGCAAACCCTCAACATCAAACACCAATTCTGTCGGCCACACAATATTCAGAGCAAATCTCCAAGCATAAGTTTCAAAAAACATTTGCGTGACAAAGAAAGGCACCAAGAATAACAGTAACAAAGTTTCCTGTTACGAATCAGTGTAACCCAGCAAATTTATTGCTCCAGAAATTAACTGAGTCAGAAATACCGAGATGACAGCTTTCTTTTATATGACTGTTATCATCGCACGACGAAAAAAAAACACAGTGTCAGTGTGCCATACCTCATTCATTTACCATACCTCCAAATTAATTTTAGGAAATAACTATTCTAAGCCAGTGCTTGACTACAATCCAACTTGATGGTAAGTGATGATGCAGCTAAAGGTGGTAAAGAAATTTATTGTTCTTAAAGTACACTGGCTTAGTTGAACAATTTTTTTTTACTCTTATGCAGTAAGTAACAAACAACCCGTTAGTTACTTTAGGAACGTGTCGATTTACATATTATTAGCATGGAAATTATGACAGTGATTTTTTTGGGTTTTTATTAAAGGGATTTTAGTGTTCACAATAGGTAACTAAGTATTCAGTTTACGTAAACACTACACATTTAAATAAAACTAGCTTTTACGGATTTTAACGCGGACATTATGTTATATTCTCGAGGTATTGAGCACTTAACACCACTCATGGTCACGAGTCGGGGTTACCGTCTCCCCCAATAATCAAAAGGAAATGTAGTATAAAATAAAATAGTATATCTCTATAAGCCACAAAATCCCTTTACCATGACGCCAGTGTTGAGCTTATTAAATATATTTTTTGTGCATAGGACAATTCAGAGCATGCTTCAGCTATATATTATTACAGCCATGGTGGCTCAGATGGTTAGCGCTCGCAGTAAGTTTCACAGTACGCTAGCAGGCCGAGTTTGATTCCCGCCAGCACCAATGAAATTGTTAATTGCAATTTTAAGTTCTGATTTACCACGAGCTCGGCGGTGAAGGAAAACATCGCGAGGAAACCTGCATGTCTGAGAAATAAGAAAAAAAGTATTACGAAGACATATGAAGTCGCCAACACGCATTTGGGCAGCGCGGCTGACATTTCCTTGCCCTAAAACCCTATCAAAAATGAGAGGAGGCCTGTGCTCAGCAATGGAACGTAAATAGGCTGTAACTTTAACTTTTTTTTAAGTTTAGGTATATTTTAATAGAACGCACAAAGTTATTATCAATGATAAAAATTCTTCCGGATCATCTGTACTAATGGGTTTCCTTCAAGGATCAATTCTCGGCTCATTCCTATTCCTAAACTATATTAATGACGTACCTTCCCCTGTAGCGTACAATCATGATTTGGCATTATTTGCTCATGATACTTCCTTGATTTTAAAACTTAAACATCTCTCATTTAAATGTGACGAAGTGAATAATGTTATATCAAAGTTAGTGCTAAATCAATGCACTACAGAAACAGAAACAGAAACAGAAACTTTTTTTTATTCAATATAGATTATAAATAATACTTATTGAAAGTCACTCTTTTGTATGATTACCACTAATTTTGATATAGCATTATTCATTTCATTAATAATATACATTTAAAGGGCAATAAAACTAAAGCACTGTTTATAAAAATCTGAATATCAATGTGTCAATGGGGAGGAATTGAACCCTGTTGAATATATTGTTTTTCTTGGCATAATTCTCGATACAAAGCTTTAGTGGAGCCCCCAAATACCTAAACTAGAGAGCAGACTAAGCTTTGCAGCTTATTATTTAAAAATGATTAGATGTTTCACTAAAGTCGAAACAGCTTTTATTAGTTTATTTCCGTTATTTCCATACCATAATATCATATCATGGCCGTGTAGTGGCGGTCAAGAATATCCACTACCCCATATCCTCCCGTGGGTTTCGTAAAAGGCGACAATGGGAAACAGGCAGGAGATGGGCAGCAGCATCTTCCTGGTAACGGCAAAAATACAATAAAAAACTGCGGTTGCCAATCCGCTGGCCAAGCGTGGCAACTATGGCAATATACCCCCAATGATTAAAGCAACAAACAGTCGGCCCCCAGTCGCCGGCGGCCCCGCTATCCTGGCTACGGTGGCGACCATGGTAACGGCGGGGCAGGTGGTGCTAAGAATACGGTGGAGGTTCGGTTGCCACCTTAGACGACTCAACCTGGCAACGTACAACGCACGCAGCCTGAGGACTGACGAGAAGATCGTGGAGCTGGAAGAAGAGATAGACAAGTTGCGCTTGCATATTATATGATTATCTGAAGTCCGATGAGAGGGGGAGGATACGGCAATCCTCGAATCCGGCAGCTTGCTCTATCACCGGGAGGGCGACCATCTGTCCCAAGGAGGTGTCGAATTTATCGTCCACAAGTCTCTCGTTAACAAAGTTGTAAACATCAGGAGTGTGTCGACGAGGGTTGCGTACCTTATACTGAGAATCACCAAACGGTATTCGCTGTAGGTCATACAGGTTTACGCACCAACCTCGGCATACCCCGATGAGGAGGTGGAGAAAATGTATGAGGATATCTCTAGAGCCATGCATTCCTCCAAAACCCAATATACAGTGTTAATGGGAGACTTCAAAACTAGGCACAAGAGAGAACGGTGAGCTGAAAGAAGGGAAATTTGGAATAGGGCAACGAAACCCAAGGGGCCAGCATCTGGCCGACTTCATGGAGAAAGAGGGACTCTTTATGATGAACTCTTTCTTCCAGAAGTGGCCGCACAGGAAGTGGACCTGGTCGAGCCCCGACGGTTCGACAAAAAATGAAATTGACTTCATTATCACGACCAGACGACAACTGTTCAGTGATGTCTCAGTGATCGCGAGGGTGAAAACCGGCAGCGATCACCGAATGGTTAGAGGCACACTAAACCTAAACGTTAAGTTGGAGAGGTATTGTCTAATGAAGTCAACGCTCTGTCCCCCTCGTGCTCTAATCCAAAGTCCTGAAACCTATCAGCTCGAGTTACAAAACCGTTTTCAGTGCCTAGAAGACTGCAATGAAGTGGACGATTTGAATGACAAGCTCGTGGAAACTGTCCATGCGGTTGGAGCTAAGTTCTGCAAGACCCGCCGCAGAAGAACACAAAAACTCTCCGATCACACTCTTAATATCATGGCTGTTATACGGGAGATGAAGCTACGTTCTTCAACAGACTTGGTAGCATACAGGCATCTGAACAGACATATCTCCAAATGCATGTGGCGGGACTAACGCAACTTCAATAAAGCTCGTATTGAAGAAGCGATCGAGCGGAACCAAGGCTCCAAAGTCTTTGCCAGAGATCTGTCTGCCAGAAAGAGCCAACTGTCAAAGCTGAAGACAGAATGTGGCAGCATCGTTTTCGGGACACCTGAGATTTTGTGTGAGATTGAGAGGTTCTATGGGCAGCTGTACACGTTATCGTTGGAGCTACACGCAAGTGTGAGTAACGATCCAAGAGCGAGTCTCATCCAACACTATTCCAAAGATATCCCGGACGTCAGTCTGAGCGAGATTAGAATGGTTCTCCAGCACCTTAAAAACGGTAAGGCCCCAGGCGAGGATGGAATTACAGCGGAGCTTCTGAAAGCGGGTGGAAGACCGGTACTTGAAGTCCTTCAGAAGCTTTTTAATTCCGTCCTCCATTACAACGGAGGCGTGGAGCAGAAATGCGGTGGTCTTGTTCTTCAAGAAAGGTGACAACGCTCTCTTGAAGAACTACAGACCGATTTCCCTTCTGAGCCGCGTCTACGTGCTGTTTTCGAGAATCATTACGAATCGTCTCGCGCGCAGAATTGACGACTTCCAGCCTCCCGAACAAGCCGGTTTCCGAAAGGGCTTTTGCACCATAGACCACATTCATACCCTTCGGCAAATTGTACAGAAGTCCGAAGAGTACAATTTGCCACTATGTCTGGCGTATGTGGACTATGAGAAAGCCTTTGATTCCGTCAAAATTTGGGCGGTGCTGCAGTCCCTTCAGCGGCGCCAAGTTGACTGTCGGTATATCGAAGCGTTGAAGTGCTTGTATACTACTGTACAAGCACCTCAACACTTCGATATACCAACAGCCCTACGGCTACGATGGCTATCCGAGTACAGAACCAGAGTACGAAACCTATCCAATTGCAGAGAGGTGTAAGACAGGGTGACGTCATATCCCCGAAACTCTTCACCGCTGCATTGGGAGACGTTTTCAAGCTTCTGGACTGGAAAGAATACGGTATCATCATCAATGACGAGTACATCACTCACCTTCGATTTGCCGACAATATAGTCCTTATGGCAGAATCACTGGAGGACCTAAGCACTATGCTCAATGACCTCAATAGTGTTTGCCAACGGATAGGTCTTAAGATAAACATGGACAAAACAAAGATCATGTTTAATGTCCATGTCACACCTATGCCGGTAGTTGTTGAGCACTAAGCTCGAAGTTGTTGACGAAAAAAAAAAGTTATACCTGGGACAAATAGTCCGACTAGGCAAGTCCAACTTCGACCGAGAGGTCAATCGACGGATTCAACTCGGCTGGGCAGCGTTCGGGAAACTACGACACATCTTCTCGTCAGATATACCTCAAAACCTTAAAATAAAATTGTACAACCAGTGCGTGTTGCCAGTGATGACTTACGGAACTGAGACGTGGTCCTTCACTGCTGGCCGTATGAGGAAGCTCAAGGTCGCTCAGCGAGCTATGGAGAGGGCTATGCTCGGAGTTCCTTTGCGTGATAAACTTAGGAATGAGGATATCCGCAGTAGAACCAGAGTAACCGACATAGCCCAATGGATTAGTAAGCTGAAGTGGCAGTGGGCCGGCTATATAGCTCGAAGAAGCGACAACCGATGGGGAAGAAATGTTCTCGAGTGGCAGCCTCGTACCGGTAGGCGAAGTGTAGGGCGTCCCCCCACGAGATAGAGTGACTACCTGGTAAGACATGCAGGAAGTCGATGGATGCAGGTGGCTCAGGACCGTGTTTTGTGGCATTATTTGGGGGACGCCTATGTTCAGTAGTGGACTTGTGAAGGGCTGTAATGATAATGATGATGATGATATCATATGGGATTTTGCTATAGGGAAAAGCGGCTGATTTAGAAACTACTTTTGTTTTGCAGAAGAGGGCCATTTGAGCTATTTACAACCTGAAACGGAGTCTCTCAGTGAAAATTTTACAAAAATATATATAATAATGACTTTGGCCTCTTAGTGTATTTGATCATCATTATTTTCATCATTACAGTCCTTCACAAGTCCACTGCTGAAAATAGGTCTCCCCCAAGAAACGCCACAAAGCCCCTGCATCCATCGAATTCCAGGCCGTCACTCCATCTAGTCAGGGGACGCCCAAATCCCCACTGCCACTCGAGAAAGTTTCTTCGCCATTGGTTGGAAATTTAGTGTCTGTTCACAAAAACATATTAAGTAGTTTTAATAAAAAAGTGATATACACTCTGTTAACACTAGGGACAAACACAATATAGTGATACCGGTTTCTCGATGCAAAGACTCAGTTATGCATTTATGGGGCAATGAATATGCTATTATAACAAAGTCCTAGAAAATTTACAAGCTTTGTCTTTTACCAAGTTTTTATATTTCATTAATCAAAAACTGTATGAAAAGGTTTCTCATATTATATCACGAACACTACACATTTAAATAAAGTTTTACGGATTTTATCACTTATATTAACCCATAGTCACGGGACCATGGGTGCTGTAAAGTACTCGAAACGTCGGGAATATAAAATCAGTTAAAAACGCGATAAAATCCGTAAAACTAGTTTTATTTAAATGTATAAAAAAGGTTATTATAATGTAAATGAATACATGATTGATAGCTCCTGTGAAATAAGTGGTCGCTTCTAAGCTCTTTCTAAAATTAATTTTGTAAATAGAAGAGAATAGAATAAAATATTTTTTATTCAATATTTATTATAAGTAATTACTGAAACTGAAAAAGAAGTATAATTACCTAATAATGAAAATAAGTTCATGGCATATATAAAATTAGTTTCTTTTTTGGTTTCAGACCAGGCTAAAGCTAGAACTTTCTTAATTTTGGCAAATGAGTCGGCGTGAATGTCAACTAAGTCAATATGTCCATTGACCAATTTACACAACCTTGGAATTGGGGAATTTGCGCCTAAGACAGATTTCCTAAAAGAAGGACAAAGCGGAATAATGGGAGCGCGAGGAATTCTCAATGGAACACGAAATTTAAATTTTTAGAGCAATGGGGGACAGTTAATTTTTTGGTTAAAAATTTTAACAAGAAATGACATGTCAAGCAAATTTCTCCGATTTTCCATTGATAACATTTTAAAGAGTCTTTATCGTTTTTTGTAAGACCGAATTTTTTTGTGAAAACGCACTTTTCCGACGGCAGAAATAAGTAAGAGATAAGTATCCAGTTGGACTTTTAGAACTTAGAACGTCGCCGAACTGGTTATTTAGAATTTGAGAAATAGTTATGATATATCACCTGGTACTTATCTTGACGATTTGACTGCCTCGTTAGGCAAGTGGTTGTAAACGCAACTGCTGATCATGAGGTCCCGAGTTCGTAAACCGGGTCGCTCCAAAAAAATTAGTTATTGTGTTTTTTGTCCACAAATTCTCAGTAGCTGTCCGAAGTCAAGAAGTTAGCGGTGTTTAAACCCCGTGCCTCGGAAATCACGTAAACTGTAGGTCCTACACTTGATCTCTCTGCGGCTGTGTCGGTTTACCGTCTCATCGGACTATGAGAGTGAAGGAATAGAGAGAGTGCACTTGTACATGCACATACACTTGGGCACTCTAACGAGTGTATAATTACAAGATTTAATTTAATATCGTGGCTTATGTTGCTTTAAAATGTTTTAAAATTACGACATTATTTATATAACGATAACTTTTAACCAGTCGCTAAAAGCCCAACAATAAATCACATTTAAGAACGAATAGATCCGGCCTTGCAGACGGACCCGCAACGTGATTGATATCCACTTATCGATTATTAGTGTTGATAAACTGTTACAAGGATTTAGTTTGAGATTGAATACGTGTATTTATCTTAACGCTGCGTCCTTCTTAATGTATATATAATAACTTTTACCATAACAGCTTATCAAAGGTCCATTTCAAAACATAGGCCTCCCTCATAGATATCCTCATAGGGTGGATATTTGCCATAGTTGTTACGCTTGGCTGGCGCGTTGGCAACCGAATTTTTTTAGTTTTTTTTTTTGTTTTAGAAAGATGCCAGCGCTTGACTTCTATCCAACGTGATGGTAAGGGGCGATGCAGCCAAAGATGGTAAAGCGCACTGATTTAAACAAAGCGTATTTTTTCTTGCCTTGAAGATGCCCAGTTTATAATCAAGTAAAAGACAGATCCTAGAAACTTATTTCATTATTTTGGTGTACGCATTGGGCATCTTTTGGTTTGTTTCTCTCTTTTGCATTTTACCACACACGAGACGATTATAAAATAACTTGGTTATAAAATAACTTTTCCTTCATGATTCTCTTTTTATCACAAAATATTCCTGTGAGACTAAAACTAATATGTTACCCTACTAATATTCAATTCACTATTACTACTACTAACACTATTATACTAATATTTGGTTTTACTTTATACTAAAAATGTAGTCGGCGTACATTGTGAGCAATCATCCAGAAAATGTATAGTTAAATTATTTCATAAAGATTAAACCTACGTCATGAGTTCAAGTACGTGAACAGCTTCAAGAAAAACACTTATGACGCCATTAAACCCTTTTAAACCCAAAAAATTATAAATAACTTCCTGGGAAAGGCAAACGGGAAAGAAAAAAGAAGGTGACATATGAAAACTTGTTTTCAACAAAATTAACGTATATTATTTGATAATCTGCAGCACTATATCCTTTGAAGCGTATAACTCCTCATACATAAATGTCAGTCTCTTCCATTGTAATAAGTATTTGTCACAAGAAAGTGTCTATTCATACTCATTCATTCATATTCATTGTTTATTTTTTTATTTATGCGATTATCGTATATATTTTATTCGTCCGATATATTTCTAATATTTAATATTTATAATTTAAATATAGAAAAAATATTTTTAGAAAATTTAATAAAATAAAGTACATAAAATATTAAAAATATATACACATACATATATATTTGCTTACCCTTACCGTGCGATTAGTACAAGTCTTTTCTAAATCGTCATGACTGGCCACCTGCCTGGTAACAGTACCAGATGTTTCGCACCTGTGGCGCTGATTCCAGTAATTAACTGTTAATCACTGTTATTTGTTTGAGTTTTACTATGACCCATAGAAATCTACATATATCCTTAATAAAGACTCAAGATGCAGATGCGTTGTCACCCGTGAGGACTAAGATGGAATGCCTGTTTGCCAGTAAAAAGGGTATCCGGTTCTCTACACTGACCATACGAAACACAGCAGCGTTAAGCTGCTATTTTACGTTGGTTTTCTGTGAGAGCGTGGTCCTTCCCCGGTCAAGCCGACCCATTCGTGCTACAACTATACTACTAATATAGCTGTAGCATGTCTCTACCACGTAAAAACAACGTTGATGGTATACCGTTATTTATCGAAGGCGTTGAAGTTTTTCTGATTTTTCCCTATGGTCACCACTTTCACACTCAGGGAACGTTTTTACGTGGTAGAGCCACGCTGTAGCTATATTATATTTGTAGTACGACTGGGTTGGCTCGACCGTGGTAGGACCATGTTCTCACAGAATACCAGTGTAAATTAGCAGCTTAATGCTGCTGTGTTTCATATGGTATGTGTAGAGAACACCAGACCCTTTTTAATGGAAACGAGGCGTTTCATCGTAGGCCTCAGGGGTGGCAACGCATCTAAATTTCATGATTTTGAAAGGTTTTTAAAGAGAGAAAGAACACTAGACGAATCTCTTTTTCCGACTAGATACTCGTAGATCGTCTGAAAGGGAACCACTTAAACAGAGGTGCTTGAACTGCTGTGTTCCGTTCCTAAAGGTTTTTGAAAACCAGTATATTATAGAAAGTTACTTAAGCTTACATTAAAATTTGAGTTAATTTGGGTACTAACTTACGTACTAAACTACGTCTTTTAAAAGCACTATTAAAATGATTTCGAGAATTTTGACATATGTCAGTAAATATTAATATCAAATATTTTGAGTTTTTTTAATATTCAGGAACAGAAAGACGTACTACCATGCTAAAAGAGTAAAAGAAGCTATAGAAAAAGCTATGGTCAAAGTTTCTCTGCGTGATAGAATAAGTGGGGAAGCAATCCGCAGTAGAACCGAAATTACCGTCTTAGCAGACCCATTGTTAAATCAGCTTAATAATCCGTTATCATTAAGCTGATTTAATAATGGGCCGGCCATATAGCTCGCATTTTGATTACTTATCGATAGTAAGTCATCCAGACCCAA